TTGATTCTATGATATATTCTCTGATATATAATTCCACCAGAGAAGGAGCATGTTGGCAGCTTTGAGTAGCACTTTGTGACTGAAGGTGATTTGGGCTGATTTTTTTCCTTACCATAAAGAGTACAAATAAATTACCTGTGCTGATGATATCATCTGGCAACTCATCTCCACAAAACCTGGAAAAAAACCCAAAAGGGCATGGTTAAAGACCTAGGAACTGCTGTTTTCCCTTGGGATGTTGCCAGGGATGTGCCTCCTGCGCTGAGTGGTGGCTTTGCTCTCCCTTGACTTGTGGGGCTGAACTGGTTCAAGGTCTTCAGTGTTTGTAATTCTATGTTAAAGCAATTGCCTGAAGAATTTTGTTGTCATTATTGGTAAGATTTTGGGGAGGGGAAAATGCAGGAAACAGTTTTCAATATATGCAGGAAGTAAATAAGGCAAAACAAGCAGAAAGAGCAATTTAGAGAGAGTTGAGGGGAAAAACAATGGCCCAAGGCTGAGAAAGGAAAAACAGTCAAAAATCCCATGTAAAATTATCTGTAAAGGCAAAAAAACCCCTAGACCAGGTCCTTGATTTGCCACATTTGCTCTGTGAGAGGATGTGAAAAGTGGCAGGAATTAGAAAATATGGTTTTTTAGCACTTTTCCTGGTTCATTTTTTGTCCTGGAAAACTGAGGTACTTCATACCAATACCTAACTGAGAAAGGACAAGCAAAATATGACACTGAGGGAAAGAAAGTGATAATTATGCAGCGAAGGAACTAAATCTGGTAAGAGAGATGGTCTATAACACTCGTTGTGGTGCTGTTAGAAATCACTTTAGTTCTGTAGCAAATAATAACTTAAATTAAACATATTTTTGCTACCAGTTTGACAGTTCACCTCTCTCCTTTCAGTTAAATCAAACACAACACACTGAGATTGCTGGGAGCTCTTCCTGTGAAATAACAGAGAATTAGGATAAACAGCAGACTAAAAGCCTTGCAGCTTCTTTCATCTAACTTAACAAAGCAGGAGAGGGCAAAGCACAGTTCCCTGAACCTCTCAACAGGCCTGTGTTAATGGCATTGGAGTAAACTGCCAGAAAGATGAGTCAGGTACTGTTGCTACAGGAGTTAGGAGCATCTCAGAGGTGCTAACTGGGCCAGGTGATACACTGTCCTTCTGAAGTATTGTCCATTCAGCTGCAGATTGGAGCTGGAAGTGCTTTACCTGCCCACAAAGCCATTGATGTCATCATAGCTGTCGTAGATCTCCAGGTAATCAGCCATACAGGCAGTGTCATCCTCCACATCAAACTCCAGGAACTGCAGGTGGATCCGTTGGCCGTACTTGACCCGGATGTGCCAGTAGCAGATCTGCTCATTTTCGTACTCATTGGGGTAGCCTGGTGACTTGAAAACATGTTTTGAGTCCGTGAAGACTCCACCACACTCTTACCTGAGGGAGAAAACATCGGAGTCTAAGTATTCATCCTGGCTGTGGTTTAATTCTCCATGCACTTTGGCCTGGCTGATCCGTAGGAAATCACATTGGAACACCCAGAGTGGTAGAACCTCTCACATATTTGAGCACTCGGCGAGTGTCAGTCACTCCTGGCCTTTGGGAGCAGATATTTTGGAAACAAGAGGAGTGATCCAAATTCACTGAACTCAGAGGAGTCTAAGTATTCATCCTGGCTGTGGTTTAATTCTCCATGCACTTTGGCCTGGCTGATCCGTAGGAAATCACATTGGAACACCCAGAGTGGTAGAACCTCTCACATATTTGAGCACTCGGCGAGTGTCAGTCACTCCTGGCCTTTGGGAGCAGATATTTTGGAAACAAGAGGAGTGATCCAAATTCACTGAACTCAGAGGAAAAGCTTTCATTGGCTTCAGTGGCCTTTGGGCCAGAGCCGTGTGCTTTATGTCAAAGGCACTTGGGATTTCTGGCTATGTCAGGCTCTACAGCTGGACTTGCAAGTCATCCTGACACACACTTTCATCCTTTCTTCAAAAACCTCTTGAAAGTGTGTCTGGTACAAAAAGCCTTGTGACAGCCAGTGATCACATACGTGGTGTGGTACTCCTGTTGTGGCTGCAGCTCCACACTCCCTTTGGGATGAAAAACACTCATTCCAGATTGATTCAATGTCCATTTGAACTTTCCCAGCTCCCTGACAGTGGGACTAACCAATCTGGGACCTCATGCTTTGCCTCTGGGGTAGAGGGAGGTACTCTTTAAGGGTATGTGATTTAGGAGCCTTAGGATGGATTAACCTTCTTAGTTTGGACACTGTCCATGAGGCCTGTGCTTCCCAGCTGACACTCCAGTACCTGGAGCACTGTGTCCAGCTCTGGGGCCACAACACAAGAACATTGACCTGTTGGAGTGAGTCCAGAGGAGGCCACAGAGATGCTCCAAGGGCTGGAGGGCCTCAGTTCTGGAGCCAGGCTGGGAGACCTGGGAATGTTCAGCTTGGAGAAGAGAAGCTTCAGGGAGACCTTAGAGCCCCTTCCAGTGCCTCAAGGAGCTCCAAGACAGCTGCAGAGGGACCTGGGACAAGGGATGGAGGGACAGGACACAGGGAATGGCTTCCCACTGCCAGAGGGCAGGGATGGATGGGATAGTGAGAAGAAATTCCTGGCTGTGAGGTGCTGAGGCACTGGCACAGGTTGCCCAGAGCAGCTGTGGCTGCTCCATCCCTGGGAGTGTTCCAGGCCAGGCTGGATGGGGTTGGAGCACCCTGGGCTGGTGGGAGGTGTCCCTGCCCAGGGCAGGGGTGGGATGGGATGAGCTTTAAGATAGCTCCCAACCTAAACCAGTCTGTGATTCCATGATTCTATGATCACTGCTAGGTGGGATGAACATTTCAAACATCAAACAGTTTCACAAGTTCCTTTGGACACCTTTAGCATCCTGGAGCAGGGCACAAGGCTCAGTTCAATCAGAGGTTTGTCTTTGTTCCTCCTGGCTACTCATGTCCCATTTGCACAGGGCCAGCCCTGCCAGGCTCTGTTGCCAGCTGTCCATGGAGCATGGATACTCCTCCTTCTAATGCCAGAGACCCAGGCATGGTCTGTGAGTGTTGGCAGCTCTGCTTTCATTTTTTCCTCTGTCCCAACAGTGTGTTTGGACAGCAACTCTCTCCCAGCCCAGAGGCTGACAAAGGAGAAGGTCACATGCAGTAATGGTCAATGCAGTAGTCTCTTTGCAGTTCCCTTTGTATGCAGAACATCTGGGAACAGCCCCCACCCCACAGAGCTATTTGGTTAACATAAACAAGCTCAAGCCCTGGGAGCACAAACAAACTGCACAGCTGTGCAGACGTCATGGACCGCTCGGATTTGGCTCTGCCAGGCAGGGTAGGACACTGGGGGAAGCAGAAGAGCCAAGTTAAGCTTTGTTTTCCTTATTGGTGCCTACTTTTTCCATCTTCCCTGTTAAATCACAGGATCATTTCAGTTGGAAAAGACCTCTGAGATCATCAAGTCCAACCTATGACCTAACACCACCTTGTTAGCTGAGTGCCATGTCCAGTCGTTCCTCAGACACCTCCAGGAGTGGTGACTCCACCACCTCCCTGGGCAGCTCCTTCCAATACCTGACAGCCCTTTCCACGTAAAAATTCCTCCAGATGCCACTCACTAGATCAGTTTGCTCCAAGCCCCATCCAGCCTGGCCTGGAACACTCCCAGGGTTGGAGCAGTCACAGCTTCTCTGGACAACCTGTGCCAGTGCCTCAGCACCCTCACAGGGAGGAATTTCTTCCTAAGAGAAGCTCCTGAGGATTCCAGTCCCAGACATAGCATTCACTTTCAGAAGTTGTTCTATTTCAGGCGCAAGAAAAAAGGAATAAAGATTAGCACTGAATTTATCTTGTTCACAGGCAAAATACCAGGAAAATGGTTCCCATGTTCAAGACCTCAGCTGATTCCAATGGAATTGCAGGCTAAACACAACCCCTTCTGCAGGAGAAGGGAGTTGGCAGTGGCAGGGTTGGACACACCATGGGGGTTGTAGCAGTAGGCATCCCATCTCTCGCTCCTGTTGAGGCGAATCCCATAGTCGACGATCCCAGTTCTCCCAAAGCCACAGTTGGCTCCAGCTTTTACTATGGGGTACCCAACTCTGCCCTTTGCCATCCAGCCAGCAGCACACACGTGGAAACCTGGAAACGAGACATGGATGTGATCAGTCAACCCTAGGCAAGAAGTGCTGCTTTTCATTCCACTCACTCTAACTCAAGCTGGTGACTCAGTGACTTGGGTATAACTGGCCTGATAGAAACTGAGCTACAGGAAGAGCAGGACTCTGAGAGGGTAATTTTTAACACAGAGTAAAACATTTCATTGTGTTCTCCACAATGTGATTATGATTTCTTCATTTGAAGGCAAAAATCAAGCACAGATGGACTGCAGAGTTCTCTGGGTAGTCATTTTTAAGTGCTCTCCCAGCGTTCGTAATCGAATTAGACATTGGATGAATTATGTGAGTTCTTGGTTTCCCTTTTGAAGTCACATAAATTCACTCAATCATATCTCAAGAGTTTTCAGCATTAAGTCCTGAGAATAAATACAACACTACATACAAAACACAGCCAAAACCCCAAAGTAGCTGCTTAAAACACTTTCAATTCAAATGCCTGAGATGCCTCAAGTATTTCTTACCCAAACTAACAGATCTTGTTAGTGCATTTTGTGGCTGAGAATGTAAAACCAGTGGTTCTGCAGGTCACTCAGGGGTGAAATTACAGGCAACCTGGGCCACAATCCAAGGAGTTCACAAGTCTCTCAGTCCCAGAGTCTATAGCAGACATGACAATACACAACTGGCAACGCTCTGAATGAGCTATATGAAAAGCAAACAGCCAGGATTCATTCCAAACCTATTTTCCTTGCTGCCTCCAGCTGCTGGTAGGTGGCCAGGTGTCCTCCTTCGTATTCACAGACTACTTTGGCCTCAGCATAGGTGAGCTGGTACTTTCCTGAGCGAGACTCCCTGTGGTACACTCCAGCTGCTCGTTCTGGGGGACAAAAGCAGGACATGGTATCAGTACTGGATCTCAGCTCTCACCACCTCCAGCAGTGAGACTTGTGCTTTGGGACACACATCCTCCTTGACTGGTGGGAGACATGTGCAGAGCAGAACCAACTGAGGCTCAACCAGGGCAAGAGCAGGTCCTGCCCCTGGGGAGGAATAACCCCAAGCACCAGCACAGGTTGGCACTGACCTGCTGGAGAGCAGCTCTGTGAGAAGGACCTGGAGGTCCCTGTGGGCAACAGGCTGTCCATGAGCCAACACTGTGCCCTTGTGGCCAAGAAGGCCAATAGAGTCCTGGGATGCATTGGGAAGAGCATTGCCAGCAGGTCAGGGAGGTGATCCTGTCCCACTGCTCAGTCCCAGTGAGGTCACACCTGGAGTGTTGTGCCCAATTCTGGGCTCCTCAGGGCCAGAGGGACATGGAGCTCCTGGAGCAGGTCCATGGGAGGGCAAGGAAGATGCTGAAGGGCCTGGAGCACCTCAGGGATGAGCAAAGGCTGAGGGAGTTGGGGCTGCTCAGCCTTCAGAAGAGATGACTGAGAGGGACTTCATGAATGGATTCAAGTCCATGAATGGGAAGTGCCAAGAGGATGATCAGACTCTGCTCAGTGGGGGAAACCAATAAAACAAGAGGGAACAGCAAAAACTGATGCCCAGGAAGTTTCACCTAAAGATGAGGAAGAACTTCTTTCCTGTGCAGTCACTGAGCACTGAACACATTGCTCAGAGAGGCTGTGGATTCTCCCTCACTGGAGATATTCCAGAACCCTCTGGACACAATCCTGAGCCATGTGCTCTGGGCTGGCCCTGCCTGAGCAGGGAGGTGGGACCAGTGACCCACTGTGGCCCCTTCCAACCTAACTGAGCCTGTGATTCTTCCATTTGAGAAGAGAAAAAACCCTTCATTAGCAGCTGTTCCTCTTAGAAAGCACCGAAAAACACATCCCTCCCACCCCCAAGGCATGGTTTTGCAAGCCAAAGGTAAGGTTTTGTTTGGGAGAAGTTGGGAACAACAGAGCTAAGTCAGAGCTTGGAGAGTTTTGGAACAACAGAAGATCAACATAGGCGGACAGGACTCCCCTGGGGAAGGAGTTATGGGAATGATGCTGCTTTCAGCATCCTCAGGGCTGTGCATCCTGTCTGACTCAGGAGAAGCTCCTCCTGGATCAATATCACAGCCTCCTGAATCTCTATCAGCCTCCTGGATCTCTATCACTGCCTCCTCCTGAATAGCTACCACAGCCTCCCCTTGGCTGCAGCTCTTAAGAGCCTTTGTAAGCTGAATCAGAGCTTTGTTTTGACTCTCCAGAGGAGCTGAATCAGAGCTACTTGGAGAGAGGAGAGGCAGAATGAAAGGGGAGAAAAATGTGGAGTATAAATATCCAAGATTGTGTCACAGAGGGCAGGACCAGGACAATTGCTGGCTGACATTTCTGCTGCACTGAAAATTAAGGCACTTTCTTCCTTATTTTTTTTCCCTTGCAAGTAAGATGCAAAGCAGCTTTCCAGGGAAACCTAGAAACTGCCAGTGCTGCTAGAAGCTTTATCATCTTTTCCTGCTGCACTTGTCTGATGCCATATGCACAGGAATCTGTCTCAGAACCAATCTGCATCTCTCATCAGAATGGCAATTTTGTTTAGGTCCCTCTTAGATTCAGCAGAATCAGAGGAACGGCTGTTTGCAGCTAGCATCAGTCAGCATGCCTGCAAAAAAAGATGGAAAACAGGGAGGATTTTTACAGTAGTTATTTGCACCTTGGGGAATTAAAGGATGTCTTTTGCGGGATCAGTAGTTCTGGCTGAGTTAAGCCATAGTCACCACTTAGTTGTGGTGAGCAATGCTGAGATCCCTTAAAAGGCACAGAATGACATTTTCTAGGGGAATTTTTGGACCACTGGCCTCATGCCCAGAGAAGTAAATTATATTGCTGACAACAGTCTCAGAGGACCAAGAGCTGCTTTCTCTTTCCAGGGAATATCACTGGCACGGGCACAGGATAACATATACTCCATGGAAAACTCTTCCTGAAGAAGCCACTTCCATTCAAAGAAGAGCTGTAACAACTCAGGGCTGTGAAATAATGGCATGTTATATTAAAATACATATTTTAATTAAGAATGTATTCACAGGAAGTGTTAATTTTCATTCACTCACTCGTCTGTCAAGTCTAA